CTTAACCCCTATTTGCCTCAGTTCCTCATCTGTAAAATGGGGGCATACTGGAGAAGAAAATGGCAAACCACTCCAGTATGAACGACTGAACAAAACCAAAAATCCAACCAGGTATGTGTCCAATATTGTGTGTGTGTACACAAAATGTATAATTGTCCATATCAAAACTGTAATGATCAAAATGACTTAACATCTTATTCTTCCAGATCAACTCTCTAATTTGTCTTTCTCTATCACTTTAAACATATGAACACATAATTATTCTGCACATACATTTACAATAAAGGGAGGTGAATGAGATTCACAAAACTCTTTCAATGGCAGAAGTAGCAATGAGTTTTAACATTCAGAGAAAAGTACCTAGAAAATATTTTTCTTCTGCTAACAAATGAAAAAGCATTTAGTAAGCATTTACTCTGTACTACGCAGTGCTAAGCACTGGGGATTGTAAATGCACAAATAAAACAGTCCCAGCTCTCAAAGGGCTTATATTCTAGGGCAAGGGGGGGGAACCTGTGTCCCTCTAGATCCTCAAGTGCAGCCCTTTGACTGAATCCAAACTTCACAGAACAAATCCCCTTAATAAAAGAATTTATTCTGTAAAATTTGGATTCGGTCAACAGGCTGCATCCATAGACCTAGAAGGCCACATGTGACCTCAAGGCCACAGATTCCCCACCCCTGTTCTAGGGGAAGATATATATGGGAATGGTGGTGAGGGAAAGGAAGGGGATGTAGGGTATCACAGGAATAGGGATCGATCTATGCCTTTGCCAGAACAATGGTGGTATGGTAGTATTGATTTGGGGTAGGCACGTTGCACAGTGGATGGTCAGGAAGTCTCATTTTCCCGAATTCAAATGTGGCCTTAGACGCTAGCTGTGTGACCCTGGGTAAGCCACTTAACCCGGTTTGCCTCAGTTTCCTCATCTTCCACTCAACAACAAAAGTATTGATTTGATTACTGTGCCAAAAGCACAAAGTCAGAAGGGCTGGGGAGAAGAGAGAAGAGAGTAACAAGGGTGAATGGCAATATTGCCAGAGCTGACAACTGATTAAAATATGAAGACCCGGTACAGTGGGTTTCTTGAGTTTGCCACTTGCATTGGCACCAAGCAATCAAGACAACAGGGCCCCAGGACGGCTGTTCTAGAACTGAAAACATGCCTATCCTCAGTGTTAGTACAGTGTATCCCTAGAAAGGTCTGCAAGAGCTGAAAGCAATATCATAGTGGAGGGTGTGAAGGTTTACAATGTTCATCAACTTGTTTCCTATCTCTGAAAATTTCCACTCCTAACAATCTAGCTTCTAATCTCGCCTTCATGACTCTACCCTAGAAGCAATCTGGTACAGTGGAAAGAATATTGGTCTGGTAAAAGGTCTCCAGTGGGATGCCTCAGGGATCTCCTTACTACTGGATGGAAGGGTTGGGATAGATTACTGACAGAATAGATTACTGGACCAAATTAATAAATTCTTTTGTTTTTACTAGATCCTCAGGGGAGGAACTTTCTCTACCCATACAGATCAGTACTTGCTCTACAATTTAGTCTTCCAGAACTGTCTGGGTCACTGAGAAGGTGACTTGCCCAGGGTCACATGGCCAACATATGTCAGGAAGGACTTCATCAACCCAGGCCTTTCTGACTCCAAGCTTAGCTCTCTGCCTTTCAAGATGAAATATCATAGGGATAAATGTCAAGTCAACCTAGACATTTAAAAAAATAAACATCACAAGTACAAGATGGCAAAAACTGTCTAGACATTGATGCATCTGAAAAAGGTCCATAGGTTTTAGTGCAATGCAAGCTCAAACTCCCCTAGGTTAGGCGGTGCAGTGGATAAAGTGCTAAGCCTGGAGTCAAGGAGACCTAAGTTCACATCCCACCTCACACACTAGCTAGCTGTTTAACCACTTAATCTTTGCCTCAATTTCCTCAACTGTGAAATGGGGATAATAACAGCATCTACCTCATAAGGTTGTTGTAAAGATCAAATCAAATATTTGTAAAGTACTTAGCACAATGCCTGACACACAGTAGGTACTAAATAAATGCTAGCTGTTATATTATTATAACATGAATCCGTAATTTGGTCTACAAGAGAGCTAATGTAATCTTAGGCAGCATAAAGATAGGCATAAGGCACAGGACTAGGAAGGCAACATTTCATCATCCTCTGCCTTGGCCAGGCCTCATCTGGAGCATGGCAGACCATTCTGGGCATTACACTGTAGGAAGGACAGTATTGAGCTGGGAGGCAAACAGAATGGTGAAGGACCCTGAATTCATTCGTTCTATATGAGAAGTGGCTAAATGAAGTGGGGATATTTTTCCAGGAGAAGTGAGGACTACAGGGTAAAAAAGAATTCAGCTTTTTCTGCTTTGGCCCCAGAGACCAGTCCTAGAAACAATGGGTAGAAATTATAAAAAGCCAAGTTTAAATTTCCATGTTAAGGAAAACCTTCTTGCCAATTAGAACCATCCCCAGTAGGGACCAGGTCACTGGCCTGGGAGGCTCCCCTTCATCAGAGGTCTTGCAACAAAGGCTGGATGATTTTTGTTCAAGTACAGTTGGACCAGATGACCTCTGAAGTCTTAGCTTCTGGAATCAGGTTCAAACTGTAGTTCGGTCACTGTTATATTAGACTGAACCTCACTCATCTGTAAGACAAAGGGGTTGGTCCAGATGAGCTCTAAAGCTCCTTCCAACACTGACGTTTTGTGATGCCCTATCTATCCAGCAGAGGTGAAATGTGAACCCAGGTGTGTCCCCTGACTCCACATCCAACATCTGCCTTCCTTGAGCTTTGAGCACAAGGTCCCTTCACTGACACCTCTTCTACCCTACCCTTCTGTTGTTCCTACTATACTCATCCTTGCCTATCTCTTCTACTCAATGTTCTTTAAACTTTTACCATTGGCAGCAGTGGATAGAGTTGGGAAGACCAAAGTTCAAATACAGACTGTGACTGGGTAAGTCACTTAACCTCTCCCAGCCTCAGTTTCCTCATCTACAAAATGGGGATAACACCCACCCCATCAAGATTTGTGAAGTGCTTTGCAAGCTTTAAAGTGCTATACAAATGCTAGCTGTTCTTATTTATTAATGGGGGGGAGGGGGGAGGGACAATACTAAAACCCAACATGGCACACTAGAAAGAGCACCAGGAGCCAGAAAATGTGAATCTTAGTCCAAGCAATGGCAGTGACTAGTTGCGTGACCTTGCATAAGTTCACTTAATTTCTCTGAACCTTAGCTTCCTCACCCATCAAACCAGATTGCTGGACCAGACAATCTCTAAGGCTACTTCCCAGCTCTCAAGTTAGATGAGGCTTCCTTCATCTGCTCATCCCATGCCTGCCACTGCTTCATTACCCAAATTGCCTCGCAGACTTAGATTGTTCACCCTTCCTATCCCCCCCCACCAAAAAAAAACCCCCATAATACTTCCTAAAGAACATGGGAAAACAGATATTGATGCAAAGGACAACTCCATTAGCTGGTCCTTCTACTAGTCTTCTCAGATCTTACAACACCCATGTACCTATGTTACCAAGGACACCACTCTCTTTGTGTTCCTCATACATGACAACACCATCTCCCGACTCTACTGGCTGTCCTGATCTCTCCCTCTCATCTGCTCCTCCTCCTTTCCCTTGCTTCCCTCAAGTCTTAGCTGAAGTTATACCTTCTAAAAAAAAAAAAGCCTTTCCCATTCCTCCTTTTTCTCAGTGCCTTCCCTCTGTTTTTTTTTTTTTTTTTTTGCTAGGCAATGGGGTTAAGTGACTTGCCCAGGGTCACACAGCTAGTAAATGTCAAGTGTTTGGTCTGAGGCCAGATTTGAAGTCAGGTCCTCCTGACTCCAAGGCTGGAGCTCTATGCACTGCACCACCCAGCTGCCCCTTTTTATATGATGTTTTTTGTTTGTTTGTTTTGCTTTTCTCTGAGATTATCTGTAACTTACCCTGTACACAGCCTATTTGTAAGTAGCTGTTTGTACGTTATCTCTGCCCTTAGAAAGTGCCCTCCTTGAGAGCAGGGACTGTCTTTTGCCTTTGTTATTTTCAGCACTTAGCACAGTGCCTCGCACATACCAGATGTTTAATAAAAGCTAGCTGATTGATTAATTTGGTCTCTTAACTTCCTACCCTTCCTGTATGTAATGAAGGCTGTCAGCAAATATTTATTCAATGCCTACATGGTACACATTACTATACTAGGCAATGGGTCTACATACTGAAAAATGAACATGGTGCCTCTCTCCAAGCTTACAATCTAATCTGTTAAAGATCTAGATTACTAGATCTATTACTAGATCAGAGATCTAGTCATTGTTACTTGTGAGAAGTGGCGGTGATGGTTGTCCTTCATTCTCAAAGAGGACCAAAATGACATCACCGTGTAGAGTCAAGTTACAGTGTATCTGACTGTGGCAGATCAGATCAATACGAGTTCAGAATGCTCTACCGCAGGTCAGGTACAAATAGAGTCCATGTGAACATTTGGCGTGGATTCTCTAAATTTATGCATCTCGTGTTTCTTTTGAGCTACTTCAATTCTGCTTTGCTCATAGGGTATAGCATCTTTTTTGATGCAGGCCCGCCATGCTGAGCAGTCCTGTGCCAGTGTCTCTCATGTCAACAAGCAATTCCAAAGTTGTTTTTTCCCTTTTTTTTTTATATGAGGCAGTTGGGGTTAAGTGACTTGCCCAGGGTCACATAGCTAGTAACTGTCAAGTGTCTCAGATTTGAGACCGGATTTGAACTCAGGTTCTCCTGACTCCAGGGCCAGTACTCTATCCACTGCACCACCTAGCTGCCCCTAATTCCAAAGTTCTTAAGAGAGACCTTGAGAGTATCTTTATATTGTTTCTTCTAGAACATCAGTGAACCAAACATATTTAATGACACCATCAATTAAAAAAAAAAACCTACTGTCCCTTTACATCTGAAGAAAGCTTATTCTCATTCACATAATAATCAATAGTAGAGAGCAGCGTTTTGAAGACCAATCTTGAAGGCTGTTGCAAGGTTTGAATTCACATGGTGTGATTCAGTCCTTGTTGTACAACACACAGAAGATACTGCTGTAAAAAGAACTCCTTTCTTTGACTTTACATATAAACAGGTACCAATTCTGATTTTATTCATCATATTAACATACAATAATGTTCATGACACAAAGTGAGAAATGCACAATTTTTAACCATGTAGCTTGCCTTACACCCAAAGAATGTTATGTTCATATTCAACATGTACATAATCAGTCCACCTAACTTTTATCAATGTCCTAAAACCATTTCCAGCATTTCTCATAGAATTCTAGTTGGTTATTTTTTATTGCTGTTGTTTTGATTTTGTTTTGTTTTGAATCACCATCTTGTATAGCACTAAACAGGCTCTAAGGCTTTCCCTAAGAATGGATTCTTGAGTGTGAGTACCAACCATATCACCTAAAGTTGTCCGAGTGGTCCAAAAGGCCATACTTTCAACGCTGAAGAGCTGGTGGTTTGACATTAGCTATTAGGTCTGTAGGTTATGGTGTGACGCCAGATCAGAGCTGCATGAAGAGAAACCCCAGGGAGAGGTTTGTGATTTGGGTTTCTGCTGATACGCTTTTATTGTTGTTAAAATATAAAGTCTACAAACCTTCCTGAAAAGTCTGTAAGGTTGAAACTACTGTTAACATTTAAGAAGTCTGACAATTGAGACTGGGATTTGGACACCTGATTGTCCATGTACATATTATTCATATCAATGAATGATTCGTGTCCATTCATTAACCTGAATAATGAGCAGTTAAATAGTTGATATGTATTGAGAGAACAGTAATATTACACGTTTAGAATGTCTGTCTGTGTAAAACCTGGAGAATGGGTCTATGTCAAATATTCAAACTCTGCACATATAGAAACCAGCTGGCAGTACACTGAGCAGTTTACCCCCCTCTACCTGCGTTTCATTCTCATACAACACCTGGTCACCACTTGCGCTTATGAAGCCCTCACACTCATCATGATCAAGTTCAGCCATCTGTGAATTATGCCGCTCTGTGCTGGATTTTTACAGTCACCACAGGAAATGTAAGTCACATCCTGGTCAAAAAAGACCTGTTCATTTCTCACCATATAAAAAACCTGAGATTTGAGTCAGCAACTAGCTACCCTTGAAGAGGATAAAAAGAACAAACAAAACAAAATAGAACAAAAAAACCAAGTTGCTGACATGAATTAAGGCTTCAAATGAGGACCACATTGTAGCTGATGAGACTCAAGCTTAAAAAGTTTAAAAGTAAGTAATATCCCTCACATACTTGCCATAGTCACTTTATATTTTCAGCTGCCTGGAGTGATTGGCCATACATACAGTGATTACAGCTCAGGACCGAGTGCTCTTTCTTCTTGCTCCAGCTACCAAAAAACCAAGTGTATTCGCTTTTGAGAGCTGCTTGCGGGTGGCCATCGGCTATGGCGCCACCGTTAGGAGACGATGACAACATTCCCCAGACATTCCTATACTTGATGTTTTGACCCTGCTTACTCTAGCCCCTACATTACTGGTAAATCTGAGAGTCTAACTGAGGAAAGCATAGACACCACTATAGGAACCATATACCAAAAAAGAATTGCTTCCAGGGAAGGAGGTACATTCTCCTTTTCCTTTAGCTCTTTTCCTCCCCGTAAATCCTCCCATAGTTTTTCTCCCTCTTCGGCTTTAAGTTTTCCTGTTTAAAAAAAAAAATATGCCTTCGGATTGCATGGTGACTAAACTCGTGTTAGGAGCAGTGGAAAATGTGCTGCTAGGCCGAGAATACCTAAGCCGTTGCTGTTGCCACCAAACGCACATTTGGTTTTAAAGAAAACACAATGGTTAGTGTGATCTCACTTTTTAAAATTCCACTTGGAATTGCTGGATGGAAGTCAACTTGCCTAACCACCCAATTACTGTTTAAATCAGTAGAGTGCCTGATTCCTAGCTATTTAAATGAACTACAAAATGGTTTTCAGTCTTTTCCTTCCCAAGCCAGAGAAATAAAACCTTTTTTTTTTTAAACCCACTTATAACTAGGCCCAACTGGAAATTTGTGCATAGACAGCTTAAATTGCCCTTAAAAGTATGACTACCTACCTACCTATTCACAATGCTTACAAAACCGGCTCCCAGAAATGGGTAGCAGTAAAAGCCCTAATTGTATTATCTGAGGTACTTGGTTTTTGCTCTTTATAAAGCAGCTCTTGGAAATCACCTAACGGCCTGTCCATTAGAATGATATTTTCTGTCACTGGTTTTACTGGATGTGCTTTGATGTTCAGATGGGCCTCTGTTGCAGTGAGTTATTTCTTCTGGATTCACAACTATGTTTCTGTCCCTAACAGGGTCTACCCGCCTGACCTCAAAGCTGGCTCAGTTTCAGGGCTAAGGTGCACTGTGAAAGAATTGGGTAAAAGGACTAACTTTTGAGAATTATTAGTAGCACAACTTGGAAATGGTGCTGTCCTCTATCACCAATAAAGCTTTCTTTTATAAGAACAAGAGGATGTGCAATTTATCGCATACGACTGCTTCATCTGTCCAGGGGAAAAAAATCTTAAACATCTGCCCTTCCACTTTTAACTGGGAGAAAAATTAGCTGCTCTCCCACAAGTAGACATTAGAGTAAGAGAAAACAGCTTTTACACCAAAGCCCCACTTTCCAAAAATATCTATGTCCATACATATATTTCAGATTTACAGGGAATTTCTTTTTTCATTAAACAAGAAGATAAAAAAATCTCCAGAAGTCCACAGGTCCATGTTTTCTCAGGATACTTCAATAATTTCCATACTACCTGAAAAGCTTGACTGGCTGCCTACTTTCCCTAGTTCTTCTCGTGACCTGTTCTCTGACATTATGCCTTCTCCAAATTCCATCTGGCAGCTTCTGCGTTTCAGCTGCTTTTCAAAAGGGCTCTCCTCGTGCCAGCTCCGCCTCGAGTCGGCTCGGTCACTTGGCTTCTGCCGCCTGCGTACTGAAAAGGCCTGGTCACTGCAAGTGGGCAGCTGGCTACAACTACAGGCAGAGTACCTGGAACTGCCCCCATAGATGGCGGAAGTAGAGTAGAAGTGAGAGGATTCAGTGGCAAAGTACCAGCTATTGGTCAAGGAAGGGGTGGAAGCCTGGGGAGCCAAGATGTCTGAGTGCCAGCCCTTGAGGCCTACCGTAGCAGCGGACTTGGCCAGATGCTGCTGGCTTGTAGAAAGGCCAAACAGGGTGCGGTAGTTGTCCTCCACGCTTCCACTTCGGTGCAGTGGGGACAGGAGGGGCCTCTGGGCAGCGTTGCCACTGCTGGTTCTGCCAGGGTGCAGTCTCTTGGTCTGGCTTTCTGACTGCCAAGCAGACTGGGTCTTCTCAGGGATGGTGGCTTCCTCCTTGTCTGGACTGGTCTCTGGAGTCTGTTCAGACACTTCCTGAACTGGAGAGAACTGGCACAGCTTACTGCTTCCATCCAAAGCGCTAGGTTTGTAGTACTCCAGAGCATCCTCTGACGAGGGAAAGCTATGCAAAGATGCCGCCGTACTGGAGGAGTATGAAATCGATTTGATGTCCAGAGAGAATGAACGCTTGAGTTTATTGTTGTCTTCTAGTGTGTCTGAAGACATGTGGAGTCCATTGATTCCCTGTACCAGTGGACTGTCCTCAAATGATGCTAGCTGCATGCCGGGAAAACTCACAGGGTGCATGGACCTCTGCCCCACTGTATCTGAGGTAGCAGAGTTGGTACTAAGAGAGGTTTCACTGTTTTGTGCTCCTTCTGAAGCGGGTGCAACAAATTCACTGGCTTTCTCTAGGTGCAGAAGTTTAAGCTTACTTTTTGTACCCAATGCTCCAGTTTGGTTCTTAATCTTTTTCTCATAGTCTAGCAGTTGGCCCAGAAAATTGAAGTTTGGAGAAATAGTTGGCCTTTTTTCTTTCACAAATCTGATGGATAGAAGGAAAAATGTTAAAACTCAAACTACACATGATTTAAACTTTTTTTTCCCCTTTTAAACACAGAAGCAAGAATGGAAATCTGGGGAAAAGCATCAGCCAAATCAACATGATACTCTGCAGGTGACAACTTTGGAACTTAAAATATATTAAACATTAATGGAGAAACCTCAACATAAAGGACATTCTTCTTGGGAAAATCTCTAACTCATTAATAACCATAATAGGGCCTTTGGATGAACACCAGTGGGTGATACTGGACATCATGGTGCCTTCCTACGTAATAGGAAGAGAGTACCCAATCCCTTTAAGCTGTTGTTCTAGAAGAATTACTTTCAAGGAATGGTAGCTTAACATTGTAACTGATGTTGGAGGTATAGAAATCAGTCTCACCAGCAAGGTCCTCCTGCCATGATTAGGAGCACCAGGAAGGTTCAGAGAGCCTGCACACCACCGACACATTTGGCTGTGGCAATGGCTCACTGGTCCTTCCGTTTCCCCGTGTGACTCATCAGGGTGTCTGTAATCATGTCTTCAAGGCATTTCAATATTCATGATTTTAATTAAAGAAAAAGAAGGCATTAAATATCCAAGGTATCAAAGGGCACATTTCCCATCTCATCGTGGTACTCAAAGTGACTTGATCAGAAAGCATGTGAACTACTGCTTAGTTTAAGCTTTTATATGGGGAATTCTCACTAACACCAAATTTGTCAAAAGGATGAAGCCAGTGACAAGGAACAGAAGCACTACAGCAGTAAAAGACTTAGAGAAGCTACCAAAACCTTTCCATGGCCTTTTTATGTCAGAGGAGGTGCAGTTTCTTCAAAAGTTAATGTAGATACAGAACTAAGGTGATAGCTTGTCTTTTGAATAGGGAAAGCTAAAGAAAAACAATCTCTTGGAAATGAAATAGTTTAAAACAAAAGAAGAGATCCAAGCAATTGGTTGAACATTAACTTAAGTATGAGTAGAAAAATCCAAATAATTTAGGAGCTGTAGTGAGATAACAGAATTTATTTTGTCCTCTCATAAATGGACTTCCAAAAGAGGACAGAAATAAATAGTGGGACATTCCCACTGTGCTTTCTCCATTGGTGGCTATTTAGATATGTAATTTCTCACCTTCATGTTTATCAGTGTGACAGGAAGGAACTGAACTGTCATCCGCCTATGCCCACCTGTCTGGTACCTAAGTCTGATAGTTCTTGGTATTTGTCATGCTATTCTCCTGAAAAGCCCTTATGTGCCTTGTATGCCAAAGCCCAATCACAGTCCCCATAAAACTTCTCAAGGATCACGCCTTCCAACCCATCCCACTACTCACTCCCTAATAGGAGACTGGTGGTGTCTTCGCTTCCTTGCCCGACATTTTGAATGAAGTAGCAGATAGCAGACCAAAAAGACAATTCATCAGCAAACAAGCTTTGAACAACTACTGTGTTGCTGGCAAAAACTAACTGCAGGGTTCAGCATTTAGGTCTATCATTCAATCTCTAACCCCGGACACCACCCAAAAGTTGCTGTCTCATTCCTTGTAGAAAGGGAGTCACATCAGATGTTAAGAAAAGGGCATGTCGTGTACAGTCTATCACACGCGTCAGATGTTGATTTTAATGGATGAAAAAAAGCACAATTATCTTCCCTTGATTTGAGTAAGAAATAAAGTGGAGTGACAGTGGATGGTTTAATATGCCTGAAATTGATTAGATTGAGTTAATGCTAAATGAATGCTAAGTAACAAAAATGACATCTTTCCCAGTTTTTGAAGCATCACATTTAAATCCACAGCAACTAGTGAAGAGCATTGTTGAAAGGAACACAGCTGACATTCACCGCAGCGGTACTCTTACGACATAAAGTGATCTAAAGGAGGGCCTCCGCCACGTTGGACCCAGGGAGGCAGAACATGGACAAGAGTTGTACCAGATGTTCAGAAGTTGTGGATGCTTTGTACTAATACAGGAAATATGCATATCATGGAGATTACAGATCCAATTAAGTACATTGACATAGAAATATTTGTATTTCACTTCAAGCAGTCATCATTCTCCTTTGCATAGTGCTTTTATGTTTCCAATCAGCCTCTGAAGTAGTAGATTGTGATGTGATGAAGGTCACACAGTTACCGAGTGGTAGCTTAAGCTTTTGGCTCTAAAACTTTCTGATCTTTCTACTTCAGTCTTTTATTTCTTATAGACTACCACCACAAGAATCCATAAAAGAGGCAGCTAGTGGTGCCATGGATAGAGCACTGGGTCTGGAATCAGGAAGATTAGCATTTAAATCCAGCCTAAAACACTTATTAGCTGTGCAACCCTGAACAAATCACATAACCTCTATCTGCCTCAGTTTCTTCAACTAAAATAGGGATACTAATAGCACCTATATCCCAGTGTTGTTTTGAGGCTCAAATGAGGTATTTGTAAAAAGTGCTTAGCACTGTGCCTAGCATATAGTAGGCACTTAACAAATGTTTATTCCCTCCCTTCCCCCCAAGATGAAATCACTTCTATAATCTTACCTGTAGGCTTCATCTAAGGACATATCCATCCTCTTCATGATGTAGGCAATAGCAATTGTGGCAGAGCGAGAAATTCCAGCTAAGCAGTGCACCAACACGCATCCGTTAGAAGCTTTTGCTTTCTCTGGACAAGAATTACATTCAAGAAATGTCACTTACATAAAGACTTTTTGCAACAGGCAATCATCATCTTAACAAGAACACAGAAGACCTCAGAATGAGTTAAGTGATTTGATTTACAATCCAGCTTACCCTATTCCCTATTTCAGGGCTTTTGCCCAATGGTTCCCAATCCTATTTTTTGTCCCTGTGCCATCCTACCTTCCCCACCTCTATAATCTCAAAGGATCATTATGAAATTCTCCCCAAATCCATTTAAATAGCCTGTAATTTTAAGGACACACATATCATGTTTATGTCATGAAATTAAGGTCATCAACTTGAATATGCTAACACAACCCTAAAAAGACTGGTTTGACTCACTTCATTAGACTAAGTAGTAAAATGCTTGAAAACTTAAAAAGAATTCATCTTTATTAAGTCAGTTTGATTATTTTTCTACAAGTAGTTTTGCTGTTTTACAATTTTAATAAAAAAAAAGTAATAAATGTCACTGGTAACTTCTCCTTGGGAGTTTAGTAGAAAAGTAAAAGTAAAGTTGTTGTCTCTTCACAACAGTCTTCTACTTGTACTGCAGCCTCAGGGGCAAGAAGTTTAAACTGTTTTGTTGTTGCTGGAATATATATGGCTCAAAACATTTATCTACATAAATGATGAATATTAAACCATGCTTTCATGAGGAAGACATATTTATGGACTTTGTAAATGACACAGCTATGCCGTTCGAACTTAAAACGATTCACATTTTATGGACAGTACTAGAAACAACCCCAATTCAGCAACATTAAAAGCAGGTTTCATTCCCAGTGTTGATTTCCAAGGAATAAAATTGTTTCCCCTTTACTTTGGTTTTAATTGATATTATACCCAACGGGTGATCATCTTGAATTTTAAAAGACCCATAGACCAAATCTGCATGACACCGAATGACATAGAGTCAGTAAATTTGGCTGTACAGACAAGGTTAAGAGACAAAAACAAAAACAAAAACAAAAACAAAATCCACTTTGGCTGTTTATATGTAGGCATCTCGGTCACACTCTTTTAAAAGTAGTTCATTCATTATTCAACAAAGCACTTATTGAGTCCTTCATGAGTAAAAAATATTGTATTAGGTCTGGGTGGTGAGAAGAAATAGAAGAGCCTTAAGAAGTTTACAATTTGATTGGAGATACCAAGCTTACACATATAAAATAACTAGAAAATGACGATAAAGCAACATAAGGCAAGTGCAAGATAACACATGTATTTAGAAACATCCCTCCCCCACCATACCTAGTCCCCACTGCCACGATACCTTCCCATACTCTTTCGGCTAATACTCCTCTTTTCCTTCTCAACACTTATCACTCATATTACACTTTTAGATTGTTCCTTCCTTGTTTCTTGTATTTAACTTTCATCTTTTCAATCTGTATGACCTTGGACAAATCACTTTATTTCTCAGGACCTCAGTTCCTTCATCTGTGTAATTTTTTTTTCAGTTGTTTTAGTCACATCTAACAGTTCATGACCCCATTTAGGGTTTTCTTGGCAAAGCTACTGGAATGATTTGCCATTGCCTTCTCCAGTTGCTTTTACAGATGAGGAAACTGAGACAAATAAGGTGAATTGCCCAGCTAGCAAGTGTCTGAGGCCAGATCTGAACTCAGAAAGATGAGTCTTCCTGACTTCAGGTCCAACACTCTATCTACTGTGCCACGTAGCTGCCCCATCTGTGAAATAAGGAGTCTTAAATATTGGATCTCTATGGTCCCTTTTTAGCTCTGATGTCTACGATTCCATGTCCAGATTACAAATTCCTTTTGGATTAAAGGCCTTCTCTTATACTTCTCTTGTATTGATAAAGAGCCTAATCGAAGGTATCAGTTAAGGTGTGCAGTAAAAACTTACTGATTAACTGGTTGATAGGTATTGAAAATTAATCATCAGAGTAAAACGAGGTTACTGGAGAAAGGCTTCTTGAAGAGCTTTAAGAAAGGTCTCAGGGGAAGTGGTCAACACAGACTAGTAGAGAAGGAAGCCGTCAGTGTAAAGGGCAGACAGGCAGAACTTGAGAGGATATATAGGTTTGGCCGGTTCAAAAAGGCTGTATTAGGAAGAAACTAAAGAGCAATACATAAAGGTTCAGAACAGCTTGTCAAAAGGCCTTGAATGTTAAGCTGAGAACTTCAGATTCTATATGATAGGTAGCAGGGAGCCACATGACATTCTTGAGTTCTTTCCTTTCTTGATGAAAACAAAGGAGAAGAAATGAAGGTGGAAGGAAGAGAAAACTCACTGGAAAATTCAGGCCTAAAAAAAGAAGCTAAAAAGGATAAAGTAGCTGGAAGGGGAAAATAGGGCCAGGTAAAAAAAATTTAAATACTACAGAGACTTGTGACTGTCTGAAGTGAAAAGAAGAGGGGGCACGTGCCAGATTTCAATTTTCTCAGCAAAATAACTATAAAATTATACTTTAAAAATTATAATTTTATAAAATTATACTTTAAAATACTGAATTATGAAATTATAAAATTATAAACTTAATTATAAAGTTATATATTATAATTATAAAATCATACTTTTCCTATATACATTTACATATAGATAAATGTTAACTATATATTTAAGGGGGTGTGTGTCTGTGTGTACACACACAGACACACAGATATATGTGTGTGTATATATGTGTATATATATATATATATATATATATATATATATAAATATATATATATATATATTAATGACCTACTTTCTGGAATCACAGAATTACAGCTGCAAGTTAGTTAGCTCAGAGCCCATCTAGGCTCAACCCTACCATTTCATAGATGAGAAAACCACACACAGGGAGGTGAAATAACATAGCTAGTTAGTGGTTGAAGTAGGCCTGAAATCTGGGTCACCTAATTCCCAATGTTCTTTCCACTACATGTGGTCTACACAGCCTCCCGACGAGGCATAATGAAAAGTAATGATACCCTACGTTTGAATACTGCTTTACATCAGGTTTTGAAAGCCCCTTTTACTTTAAGATCATTCGCTAACATGACCCAGATCCTAAGCTTCCCTCAACAAATATTTAAATTTCATAAAGTGAGAGAGAGCAAGGGGGCTTATTATTATAAGGCTGTGGATGTATGGCCCCACCTTGGAGTTACATATACTCATTCTATGCACATAACCAACCACCATGAATGAGAGAGGAGCGTGAGCGATTATTTGGTGAATTCAGGCTGGATTTTTTTTCAGCTGTGAATTACGTGTAGGGGATGAGTAAGATTTGTGTCACACAAAACAATGAAAATCTACCAACAGAGAGTAGAGATTGTTTCTTTGTTATCTGAATCCTTAGGGTACAGGACTGCACAGTACACAGCAGGTGCTTAATAAAGTCTTTTTGATTGATGGATGAAGTTTTTGGCCCACAGCTGAAAAAAATACTTCCCTGTAACAATACAAATTTTTCTTTCCAGAAATATAAAGGGGAAAGGAATAAAAGTTAGAGGGGAAGAAAAAAGTATAGTATTGTTTCCTATTCTACCAGCCACTCAAAAGCTTAAAGATACTAGGATTTAAATAAAATTAATTAATCTGCCTCAAAAGGAGATTCTAAAACCAGAGTTGAAATTGAAATTAGAGTCAAATTCTCTTGAAGCAATGTGTTATGAAATGAGATTGCTAACCATGTCAGCTAGTTAGTTGCTTCTTAAAAAGTAACAAAAAAGCATAACACCATGATGTGTGCTGCTTAGGTACATTAGTGGGGTATTAGGTTTTAGTTTGCTTGTTTTTACTTTTAAATTGTCTGAAAATTATCTAATTGTTAAGGTTTCAAGGATCTGAACTATCCCTAGAGCAGAGTTTCTTAACATGAGATCTTTGTACTCATTTTATTTTAAGAAACTTATTTTGAACTCATCTAAAAAATATTTTGATAAGTGAATTTCAATATAATTGGTTTCTTTTGTAATCCTATACATTTAAAAACATTATTCTGAGAGACATCCATAGGCTTTACCAGACTGCCAAATGGGTTTATAACATAGAAAAAAGTTAAGAACCCTTGCCCCTAAAGAAGATTAAGATTCACGGCAATTTCAGAACTTAAAAAAAAAAAAAAAAAAAAAAAAAATTGGGGGGAAAAAACAATTTCAAAAAAAAAAAAAAAAAGGTGGGCAGAGAGAAGGGATCTCTCATTTCCTCAAGGAAAATAGAAAAGGACATTAAGTTTGGTTTGTAGTTTTTTTTAAAGTTTATTGTGCTTTTGGAAATGTTTTACATGATTTCACTTCTGATTGTTTACTGTCTGGGAGGGAGAGGGAAGAATAGAATTTGGAATTCAAAACTTAAAAAATATTAAAAAAAACTTTTAACATATAATGGGGAAATAATATATATACATATATATATACACATATATATTTATAAAAAATATAAATTCTCAATCTACAGAAACTAATTCTAACCAATTTGTGATGGCTTAGAGGTTGAAGAACTCCTAGACCATATTCCAGACATGACTCACCAGGCCTATTAACAACTAGATCCCCTAGGCTAAGTACAATTCTAGAAACGTCCTGTCAGCAAGTAAGGTTCACAGACAATAAAGCTCTGAAACCACACTGGTCTCAGTAGGAAAGAATACGGTCCAGGTTAAAAAACAAACATCCCTTAAAAAAATCTCTAAAAGGGACCAATTCCATTCTTTGATTGAACTGGAGTTTTATTGTTTCTAAAACTGCTTGAAATAGGTAGGGGTTGGAAATCTTGTTACACAGTAATTTCTGTTGTAACATAATTTGTTATGATCTTACCCTGTCCTGAAAGAGGAAAAAGCTAAATTAAATAAAAAACTAAAAATTTTTATTTATAATTTAATTAATTAAATTTATAAATTAGAGCTAATTATATGAATATATATATATATTTCCTTTTTATCTACCATCAATTTCTTTTTTAAGTTTCCAAAGACAATTTTTAAGAGTATGAAAAAAAATGCAATCCCCAAAGCCTTAGTTTCAAAAATACTTGGAAAAGCAGTATCACTGTGTTCTCACTGATGGAAGCGTCAAGCTAGCTATCACATCACAAGGCCAATCCCCTAGGATTTGTGTGGCATACACACATTTAACCTCTGACCAATAATGAGGTAAGCAGCATCATGTGATTTTTAGGCTTTGTGAATCCCTAGAATAGGCTGCTTTTCCCTCTTGTTTTCGCTTTGAAAGACAACCACCAAACATTTAAAAACTATGCCAAAGAGTCTGTTGATATTAGCTGAGCTACTTACCAATGAAATCAACCGATTTGTCTAACCATGGCAAAATTTTCTCACAAAAGCTGTCATTCACAGGCACTCGCAGGAAGTGAGACTCAGGGATGAAGTCAGGCTTTGGACAGGTATTGCTGGCATTTAATACATAACCAATCCCATTCTGTTGCATCAGCTCCTACACAAGGACGTCAATTAAAGATATTCACTGATGTGATCAGTTCGAAAGAGGATTGTTTAAAGCAATAATTACAATTATCTTTAGAAAAATTTTAAAATTATAATTATCTGTATTCTATAATTGAATCAGAGTTTATTTAATTAGTGAAATCTCAAACCTGGGCAAATGTCACTTAAAAGACCTGAGTACAGGTTGAAATGGTGTTTTTTTTAACATTAAATACCATTATTGTCATGTCTATTATTTTCACTGAAGACACACACAAATAATGAAAAAAAAATCCTTTAAATGTGTCCTCAAAGTATGAAATTATACTCAGACAGGTATACCCATATACCTTGAATTAGACATTCTCTTCTATCTCCTGCTCCCAGTCTGACCATACTGGTGGCAGGCTGGGTGGATGTTTCTAGGGGTGGAAAGATGCAAACAAATATCAAGGTAGGAGCTTCCATGTAACTTTTCAGCTCCCAAGTGATCTTCCCAAGTCCCCTGGCCTGGATTTTTAATAAGATCTTACAGTCATGAGATAGGTTGTAGTCTGAGTAGTCTCAGACGTAGTCTGAGTCCTTCAATCCACCTTCTACAAAACTGCCAAACTGATCCTCTCCAAAGCATAAATCTGACCGTGTCATTTATCCTACTCAAAACTTCCACTGCTTCCTATTTTTCTCTAGGATTAAATACAAAAATCCTTAGGCTGGAATGAATGATAACTCAGAAATATAGGGGCAAATATGTATAGAGAAAAAAATGAAGACAGGTGCCAAACAGCTCCTTAGGCTTAAGCTGAAGTAGGTGTCTGCCCAGGATAAATTAAACTCTTTAGTCCCATTTTCATGATATTATAAGGAACCACATAATAGGAACTAGCATAGATGTTTGAAAACAGTATACTGACCAATGAGGTATTTAGGGTCTATGAAAGAAAGAAAGTCAGTCAAGCCAACAAGCAATATTAAGTGCTTACTAGATGGAGGTACAATGATACACCCCTAGGAAATACTTATCACCTAATCAACAGACTCTAGGTATCCTTTGCATTTAAAACACATTATAAGGCAACAGAAGGACAACTAGATGGCATAGTGGACAGAGCACTGGCCCTGGAGTCAGGAGGACCTCAGTTCAAATTCGGCCTCAGATACTAACTGGCTGTGTGACCCTGGACAAGTCACTTAACCCTGTTTGCCTCAGTTTCCTCATTTGTAAAAATGATCTGGAGAAGGAAATGGGAAACCATGTAATGGCACATGATGTAAAGTTGAATCAGATTTTTCCCATTGAAACATTATTATAATAGTGTCTTATGTTACTGATATGTTACCTGATCAGAGTCACAGGTAGTGACAGTGAAGGTTGGCAGCTGTTTAGGGTATATACCACGTAAGGTGGGGTAAGAGGAACAAAGAGGACTTTTTTTTTTTTTAAACACTTTAGTATTTTGATGGTTGTGTGATCTCATCAGTGTAGTAGTCCACCCACTAGTGCAGACCACAACCTATCCAAATTTTGAAAATCACAAAATCCCATTGTTGGCAGGGGCCACAAAGGCCATCTGGTCAACCAGTACCTGAAAAGTAATCCCCTCTACATTGTAACAAACAAGTCACTTTGAACATCAGCAGAATAGAGAGAACCCACTTCTTCCAAGGCAGTCCAATCCACCTTACCATAGCTCGAAGTGATAGGAAATTGTTCTTTACATCAAGTCTAAAAACAGTTTTCCAACTTCCACCCAAAGCTCTTAGTTCTAAATAGGACAAAGCAGAACAAATCTTAAACCTCTTTTCCATGAAAGACCTTCAAAAACTTGGAAGACAGCTATCATCTCTCACATCCCAAGTCCCTTCCCCCTCATCCCCAAAATCCTCAAATCATGCTTTTTAAGTTTAATCCACATTATTTAACTTTTTCTCCATCACTTTCTTAAGTTTAGACCATTAACAAAATAATCAGTAAGGCCCAGATTTGTAGCATTCATGATTTCTGATACATGAATGCTCACACTGAACAATTAGTTCTTAGCAATTTGAGCTGGCTTCAGCATACCTCTGCTTTCAACCATTACTCATACAGCACAAAGTCACAGCTCTTAATCAACCCAAGTTGCCCTCCTCTGGTCACTCTGCAGTTTATCAATGTCCTTCCAAAAAGATGGTGCCTAGAGCTGAACCCAGTACTCAAGACGTGGTCTAAGGTTAGGATATACATAGGATACATCACATCTCTCTGGTGCTGGTCACAATGTCTCTTTTAATGTTGTTTAAAACAGAATGAGCTTTTTAATTTCTCTTTCCTGAGAAAATTGAGGCCATCCAATAAGAGCTCCCTCTTCTCCCTACCTCTTCATCTCAAAATTCCTTGACATTGTCTCCCTCTCTCTCTAATAATGAGGTGATCCTTCTCCTTGCCAAGGTCAGCCCCTCTTACATATGCCCTTGATTACTATCCCCTCCCATTTTCTGCAAAAGACTGTTCCCACCTTCATCTCTTCCTCTCTGTAATCTTCAATTTCTTTTCAGCTAGTTTCTTCTCTGCCTTCAAAGATGCCCAGTCTCTCTCTCACATCCTTAAAAAAAATAATTTTTAATAGAAACCCCACCCCGTGATTTTGTCTCATTTTCCTTTTGCAACCAAATTCCTAGAAAAATCCATCCATGGACATGTTATCTCCACTTTCTCTGTTCTAACCCTTCAACCCTTTGCTCTCACTTCTGACTTCATAATTCAACTAAAATTGCTCTTTCGAAAGTTACCAATGATCTTTTTTTAAATTTTTTTTTTCAATTAATGAAATACAAATTCTCTCCCTCCCCTGACTTTGGACTGAAAGAGGAAAAACAAGACCCTGGTAACAAATATGTATAGTCCATGAAATGAATTCCCTCACTAGCCATGTCCAAACTAACGATCTCTTAAGTGTCAAATCTGATGGTTTTTGTTCAACCCCATTCTTCTTAAATCCTCTTCTACCTTCAACACTATTGACTAACCTCTCTTCCTGGATATTTTAACACAAATGTTCTCTGAGCAATGCCAAATAACTGTGAACCTTAGAAAAGCACAATTTCCAACACTTTTAAAATATTAATTTTCATAAATAGACCTATTTTTATATAAGAGAATTCTATTATTCATGGCACAATGAAGATCTCTTTACAAATTCTTTGTAATTCTTTCATATTTTTACTCCAATATATCTAAAGGCAAAGTCTCATTTTAATCTGGATCACAAAATTCACAAGTATTCTGAAGCTATTTTAATAGACATCTTTGAGAAGATGGGGAGATAAAACAACTTGATAGCTTTCTGAGAAAATTATGAAGGGACACTTAACTTTGATGCCAGTTTTTTCTTACAGAAAATTTTTCTTTAACAAATTTGTGGCAGAAGTCAAATTATTTGTTCCTACTTTTGTTCATGATTAGGCTATCAAAATAGTCTAGGTGACCTGTCATTAGGCACATACCAATGGCTACAAATGCTGTAAGTAATGAGAGAGGTTCATCAATCAACTAGCATTTATTACTCAACTACTAAATGCCAAAGACAAAAGTACACATCGTTAATGTTGAGGACTGCCTGTACATATGTAAAGGGTCTTAGTCTTTGGAGCTATACCAGACCCATATTCTTAATACTGCTGTCTTATCCCTTTCCATGATAATACCACTCTTTCTTCATATGAAGGAAATCTTAAATGTATGAAGGTACATCCTGAGTGAAGAAAATCCGATAAACAAAAATCTCATTTACAAAACTGATCAATGAGAAGGAGGCTATTTGTTTCACAAAAGAATTTTTTGCTTTACAAAAAACATTCACCTTTAAACATAGCTCCTCAGTTATATTTAAATGTTTACTTCCTTGAATCACGAAGTACTTGGCAACAGCAGGGTTGGATTGGGGAAGAGGGAGAATGAGAGGCTAAAATTAACTTTCTGAAGATTAAGCAGATAATAAAGCATCTCTGAAATCACCATGAAATTCAAAAGATGGAGTCTGATTTATAAAATGATTTATTTTATATTTGTTATATAAATAAGAAAGTCACATATATACTACATGTATATAGACACAATTTAAAATGATTGAAAAATTACTACTTATAATTAAACATGACTTGGTCTCAATATGTGATCTCAACAGCACAGTGGAGTGGAAAGAACAATGACTTTAGAGAGACCTACCTTAGAATCTGGGCTCTAACTACTAACAACTGACCATCATTTAACCTCTCAGAGCCTCACTTTCCTCATCTGTAAAATGGGGGTAATAATGTCTGCACTACTTACATCATGAGGTTTTTCTACATAAAGCTTTTCATAAGTTTTAAAGAGCTATTTAAAATGGCAGTTATCATTATCTTTCCATTCCTCCAAGACAGGCTGAGTGGCATAGCAGACAGAGGTCTGATCTTGGAGTTGGAATTTCTAAGGTCAAATCTGTGTAACTATGTCACCAAGTCACTTATCTCCTCAGTGTCCTAGGAAGTTTTCTAAGACTATGAGTCACAAAGAAGGTACTGCCCTGCACTGGTAGAGGGAGTTTCCATACCATGACTTCCTTGTACTGATGAAATCACAGGTCTGACAAGTGCCTTCCCCCTAAAAGTCTGTCCATCTATTCTTTTGGCTATATCGGTCTGAATTAGTTCATCTACCTATGCAGCTGTCTGTGTGCATGTTATTTGTATGCATTTATATAGGGGTGTGTGTGTGTATATGTATGTATGTGTGTTAGCGGTTTATTTCCAGAACCAGGTAGAACCATGAAAGACGTTAGTGTGATTTACTTTATGTGACTATGGAAAGACAGATGGTGGTGCAATGGAAAGAGTGTGGTACCTGGAGTCAGGAAGACCTGAGTTCAAATCCAGCTTCAGACACATTAGCTGTATGACCTTGGGCAAGTCACTTAACCTCTGCCTGACTTAGTTTTCCTCATACGTAAAATGTATATAATAACAGCAGTATCTACCTCCCAAGGTCATAATGAGGATAAAATGAGATAATATTTTAAAAAATTAAAGTACTATATAAATGTATCTTCTCCCTCTTCTTTTTACTTCTTCCTCTTTATTTATTATTTTTTGGTCCTAAGCTAGGTAGGATTTCATCCATGTAGGAAATTCCCACTGTAGAAACCCCTTCCACAGATACTTATCAACAATGTGTCTATAAATTATAGTCTTAAGAAAAACTGGGGGCAGCTAGGTGGCGCAGTGGATAGAGCTCTGACCTTGGAGCCAGGAGGACCTGAGTTCAAATCCAGTATCAGACACTTGACACTTATTAGGTATGTGACCCTGGGCAAGTCACTTAACCCCAACTGCCTCACCAAAAAGAAAAAAAAAAAAAAAACCTGATTGGTACACTGAATGATTAGTGAATTTGCCTGTGGTCACAACGCTAGTATTTGTCAGCAGCAAGATAACAACTCAAGTGTTCCCTGACTTCAAGAGCAAGATTCCATTCACTACGCCACAATGCTTTCCCTAGGTCCTACTCAGAGATGGATATTAACAAGCTCTTACTGAAAGGGGACACTGAACTCACAAATACAAGCATGTGCCTAAGGACCAACACAGCAGCCATTATCTTAGGGTAATCAGCAGGGCTGGAAATGTTAAGAAGGCAAGATACAGATGATGGGGTCAAGGGAAGACACAGGGGAAAGCCAAGAGGATTTGTAGGCAAGGAGCCGGCAGTAAACAGGGAGAGGCTGAAGATAAGAGAGGTAGGGATCAATAGGGCAAGCTTAAGGTGGGAGGGGCTGGCATCAAAGGCAGAGTCAAGTTTCTTCATCTTAGCAAAGAGAAGGGTGATGTCACAGCATGAGACTGGAACAAATGAGCAGAGGGTGTGTCGTTTGATATATGAGGAGAGTGGATAATAGATGGCCTCATACACCTTAGGAAAATAAGAGGTGAAGTCATCTGCTAATAGGGAAAGGGATGGAGGGTGAATCTGAGGACTGGAGTAAAAATAAGAAGGTTCAGAAGAGACGACAGGGTATCCCAGCAGGCAGAAGTGGGAACAGCGAATAGTTGCAAAGGAACAAATTTAGACTTGATTTTAAGGAAAAACGGCCCAACGACGAGAGCTATTCCAAGAGCGGAAGGGACTGCCTAAGTTGGTTCCTCCGTAATGGAGATCATTGAGGAAAGGCTGAACGGTCACTTTTCAGGTAGAACATAGAGGGGAAGGAATCTTAGTGAGGGCCAAGTTAGCTTCTGTGGTTTCTTCCAATTCAGATTTTGTGAGTCAATTACTGATGATTATGAGGACTGACATGTAGCAGCGAGGGCCGAGTTCAAGGCTGTAGCGGCCCCCAGAACACATATGCAGCATTCATTAAGAATAGTACCTTTGAGGGGCAGGTAGGTGGCACAGTGGATAGAGCACCAGCCCTGAAGTCAGGAGGACCTGAGTTCAAATCTGGCCTCAGACCAAACACTTGACACATACTAGCTGTGTGACCTTGGGCAAGTCCCCCCATTGCCTCACAAAAAAACACAAAAAACAAAGAATAGTACCTTTGTAATGCTCTGCGATAAATATCTGTTCTATTTTATTTCTCTGAATCAGAGGGAGTCTTCCAAGCAAACCAACAGGATAAAAAAAAGATATCAATCAAGCCTTTTCTGAATTTTGGTAGGGGAAAAATTGGCCTCTTTATACAGAGACTCAAAGGCTTCAGCGTGGAGGTAACATGTATGCTACTGACATTATAGTTAGAGATGATCAAATCAAACAATAGATAAGGAGCCCTGGCATGACATCAGCTCCCCCCAGGGTCTTTCCCTCTTGCCTAGCCCACCTGTAGTCATTTCTGATAGGCTGGGATGGTGTCCTGCCAATTGTGGCTACTACTCTACTCAGATTCCCGGGGGGTGTGACTCTAGGGTGGGGATCATGTACTCCTCAGCAGGGTAGATTGTCTACCCCCACTAGCATGCTTCCCATTTATACAAAATCAGTTATAAAGACACCATTGGCTCTTAAACATAAAATATTTACTGAATGAGAAGGCAAAAACAAAGCCTACAGAGTTCACCCATAAACCTAGGTCATATTACACACACACACACACCCACACACACACACACACACCCACACACACCCACACACACACACACCCCCCCCTAGGAGACAGATAGATGTATCAGGAAAACCATGTCCCTAGCTAGAGCAACTGGTTGCTCTGGACTGTAGGCTTTGATATCCTTGATCTTTTTAGAAAACAGTTTTGTATCACACACTAACCACTGGGCAAAACTGCTATAGCTGGTCCTGTTCCAGCCCTCACAGCTCTCCTACTACTCCTCTGCTTTTCAACTACTCTCAGGTGGCTGAAACAACGTCAAGTTCTGTCTAGCACACAGACTCCCTTAGCAGGGCGCTGAGAAAGTGTCACACTGTTTAAGCAAAACTCTAACAGCCTAACTTCCACCAAAACAACTAAACGCCTGGCTTTCCTTTTGTCCTCTCTTAAAGGGCAGTAAAGGGGGTATAATTTACTTCTAGGGAAAAAAAATGAACTGAAAGAACATGACTAAACTTGGGAGAGTAGAATTATCCTATGTTATGATACCATGACATCAAAAGACTCAACATCCCAAAAAGATCATGAAAAATAATCAAGAGACTTTCTGCATTCTGAAACTCCATGAAATTTCAGTCAATAATGATAATCGCTAACATTTCCATAGAGCTTACTATATGCCAGGCACTGTGTGAATTGCTTTACAATTATTATCTCACTTGATCCCCACAGCAATCCTGGGAGGTTGGTGTTATTATAATCCCTATTTTACAGATGAGGAAACTGAGGCAGGCAGAGGTTAAGTGACTTGCCCAAAGTTACACCACTAGTAAGTGTCTGAGGCTGCATTTGAACCCAGGTTGCCTGACTTCAGGCCTTGTGCACTATGGCGCCACCTAACTGCCTATAAAAGTAACAGGTCAATGACCAAAAGTTGTCTCTTGACAGCTACCAAAAGATGCTCTCAAAGTACCCACCTTGTTGAGGACATCTCGCTGGCAGCCGAGATAAAGATTCGGAAGAATTCGGGTTGGCCCAGTGTTGGTGACAGGTAAGCAGGGCTGGGAAATGCAGGTAGGCACTAAAGAAGATTTTCCTTCACAGAGGTCGGGGAAGCAACGGGAGAACTCGTCAAACCCACCTGGGAACAAACATTTTTTTCGTCATACAAGGGTTATACCACGCACAAAGATGAAGTCTGCCTTCTGGGGACCATTACACTAAAACTGTTTTGAAAAGGAAAAAAAAAATCACACAGAAGTGAGTTAATTTACTGAATTTATTTCCTTTCCTAGTGCTGCTAAATTTAACCTGTGAACTGGCACCGAGTCCAGCATGTTTATAAGTATATGAAGAAATACCGTATCATACTATTTTTTATTCTGAACTTAAATTCCCACAAAAAAGCATTTCCATATACACAGAATACAAAAAAAGAGGATTCTATACGAAACTGACTCTTCATTTCATACTACTCGATTTTTTAAAAGTATGTAATAAATTCTACCTATACTTTCTAAATTTTTTTTTTAAATTAAATTTTATTTTTTCCTCCATTTTTAAACTACCTAGTGGCCTGTCTCTGCACTCTGTGCATGTCACCTCTCTGTCAGGAGTTGGGTAACACGCTTCGTCATAGGTCTTCTGAAGACATGGTTGATTACTGCTTTAATCAGAGTTATTAAGTCTTTCAAAGTTGCTTTTCTTTACAATGTTGTTCTCTGTATAATTATCCTCCTAGTTCTGCTCTCTTCACCTTCCCCAAGATTTTCTAAAATTCTCATGTCATTTTTGACAGTTCAATAATATTCTATTATATTCATATACCACAATTTGTTCAGCTACTCCCCAACTGTCTAAGAGGCTACCCAAGGCAACATCTTAGATTTCAGTTCTTCCTCTTTACCCCTTCAGAATTAGGAAGTTTATTTCCTTTGTGACTATTCACTCTCCTACAGTATCCATCTTTTAAATACCCAGAAAAAATACTTAAAGTATTTTGTTTCTTTAATATAGTAGCTCTGAATTCTTCCTATTGTTAATTTTCCTGGGTAATTTACATTTATGATTGCTCAAAATACAGTATCCAGGCTTTTTTTTTTTTTTGGTTAAATAATGGTTTTCAGGGAGTCCAAGTATTCTTAAATGATCTCTCCCTGATTCATTTTCCAGGTCAATTTTTTTAAAAATATCAGATTGCTTACATTTTTTAATTTTGTTCTGATATTTCTTGTTTGTCTCATGGAGTCGATTTCATTTTGGTTCAGGGAGTTCCTTTCTTGGGTAAGGTCTACCATTGTTGTTCTAAGGTACTTATTCTCCTTCCAATTCTTTCCTCAAAAGTTTTTATCTCATTTTTAAAAATGTTTGGCTGCATTTATTCTAGGTATTCATGTAGTCCTTTTAGGAAATATAGGGTGTTGGGTGGATTTTGTGAGACAATCAGGGTTAAGTGACTTGCCCAGGGTCACACAGCTAGTAAGTGTCAAGTGTCAGAGGTTGGAATTGAACTCAGGTCCTCCTGACTCCAAGGCTGGAGCTGCCCCCAGAACTAGATTTTAAATAATTTTTAATACCAGTTGGTGTTTTCTTTAATTTACTCATCCTTAGATTCCAAATTGGGGCTTTGTGCCCAGCTAATTCTCCACACATGGCAGCACTTTCAGATGGGGTAGTTGGCCCTTGGTCTCCCTGTGGGTCCCTTAAGTTCCTGTGTTGATTTCCTTCTCTTGGGGGTTAGTTCTCACCTTCAGGGCTCTCTCTGGCATTTCAGGACAGAGTATTCAGGACATTAGGGATTACAAAGCCCTAGGGTCTAGGATGTCCAGATTTGAGCACTATGTCATCCAGCCGCTCTTCACTGTGTAGGCTGGTCCTACTACTAGGTGCTAGAGGAAAAAGCGCTAGGGGAAAGGGCAAAGATATAGATCCTCTCCTATTACCCTTGGGCTTTTCTGACTGACTTTTTGTGTAGGGCTAGGGTGGAAAATGGCACTTGCTGAAGTTTCTCATTGGATCACTTGATGGGTATTTGATCTGGTGAGAACTTTTAAGATTTTACTAGAGTAGGTATAGGGGAACTAGCCAGCCTGCCTCCAGTTCAGGGGATCATCTTGGCAGGAAGTCCTTCTACAACACTCCTGACTTACATTCATTGCTTCAACCCCTCCTTCCCTCCAATCAGCATTTGTTTATGGGATCAAGAGGAAACCCTAAGTAGAGTTAAAAATTGATATCAGTCACATACACATAAACATGTAGCTATAATCTGAATTTATTGCTGATTCTATTGCTTCTTCAGAAAAATGTGAATAAAATCTAGTTCTAGAATGAAAACAAAAAATTTCCCACTACAACATTAAATTTTGTATTTCAAAGATGCAGGCAGATATACTTGGGTCTTACTTCCATAACCTTGTTTTCACCCACAAATCTAGAAAGAGTATGTGGAGGGAAAGGGGGTTGGAGAGAGAAGAAAATAGAAAGTTAAGTATTTGGGATTCCCCTGGCAGTCAGTCAAGATTACCATAATCACCACTGATACCCCTGCTCTTGTGTTCACATTGCAAGGTACTTCAGAAGAGTGTTGACAGATCCTAATTACTTAAAGTACACTGTAGCCTGGTGGGAAGGTTTGTGCACTAGAAATCAGGAAAATGGAATTCTTTCTAATTCTGTCTCTGAAGTGATCTGCTCTGTGACTTTAGTTAGGAAGTATTATGAGGCTTGTTTTTTTCCTCATCTACCAAAAAGAACTAGCAATACCTGTCCATTCAATACTATAACTGACTGCTATGAAAATAAACTATATTTCAGAAGCATTCTAGGGAGGGAAGAGATGGGGAGAAAATCTGGAACTCAAAATCTTCTGGAAGTGAATGGTGAAAACTAAAAATAAATAATTTTGAGAAAATGAAAAAAATAAAATAAAGGAAGCCTAAAAAATTTAAAAAACAAAAGGTTAAAAAAAAAGAAGCATTCTCAACTATATCAGATGATAAAGGTAGACAAGGTCTTCATTGAGTTTCTGGATACAGCATTATGTTTTGAAAAGTTTGAACCATAAATATATGGATTATATAGTAATTGACTAGAAAAGCAATGTCTTTGCATTGTGTTTTTTAAAGCATTTCTCAGCAGTGGCTCTAAGGTGCTCATTCAGTTCATAAAAGTCTGGATTTTCTCTTCTCCAAGAGTTGCAGTCTGCTAGATTCTTCATGATTAAGAACCCTATACCTTAATATGCTTGACATCCTAAATAACACAGCATTCAATTCATCTTCCTGGAAAACAGTGACAAGTAATAGTGTTAAAAGTGAGACAGCACTAACTGCATTATTAATATAAATGTGTAAATCTATACCATGTCTGGGCAGATACCATACAACCAAATAAGAGTCTTGCAGTGGATTCTGACCTTTTAGTCTATGCTCTTCTGGAAACGAGGCACGCAGAAATGTTTTTTTTTTTCCTTCCCTCTGGAAGGGCAATATTACATGACGGATAGAGCTCTAAATTTGTTGTCAAAAATCTTACTTCATAAACTTGTCAGCTGGGCAAGCCACTTCACCAATTAAAACCTTAGTTTCCTCATCTTTTAAACAGGAATATCATTTGTACTATGACCTCAGAGGGTTATTACAAAAGTGCTTTGCAGACCTTAAAGTACTATATAAATGTGAGTTTTTATCATGTGTAAAATTACAGACAGGACTATCCCACTGACAAACTGTCTCTCACCTGTGAGATTATCAGATTTTCTCTTACGTACCTAAGCACCTAAATGCTCAACTATGATTAGAGTTATAGCTCATCAATTTGTAAAAGGTATTAATATTAGTACTGCCTCCAGACTCTCCCCAATCCATTCCACCCTATGCACATTTGCCAAATGTGATTTTCTTCAAGTGCAGTCTGACCATGTCACTCCCTTACTCAATAAACTCCAAAGACTCTTATTACCCTACATTCAAATATAAATTCCTCTGTTTAGATTTTTGTTTGTCTGTTTTTGTTCTTCCAGTGAGGCAATTGGGGGTAAGTGACTTGCCCAGGGTCACACAGCTAGTGAGTATCATGTGCCTGAGGCCAGATTTGAACTCAAGTCCTCTTGACTCCAGGGCCGGTGCTCTATCCACTGCGCCACCTCTGTTTAGCTTTTAAAGCCCGTCACACCCTGGCCTTGACCTCCTTTTCCATCCTCCATGTATTATTACTCCCTTTCGTACGTGTTCTAGGTCAGCCAAAATGGCCTTTCTGCTTGCTGGGTTGCTCACATATGACATGACATTCCATTGGCTATATTGCTACCTCTGCCCTGGCTGTCCTCCTGTTCCTGGGACACTCTCCGTCCTCCACTCCAATTACTGACCTCCCTGGCTCTCATTAAGTCCCAACTAAAATCTCACCTTCTACAGGAAGCCTTCACCAACCAACCCTTCTTAATTCTAGTACCTTCCCTCTGTTAATTATTTCCTATTTATCTTTTTTAAATATATAAATGTAGATATTAATGTACATAGACATATACACATATAACACATATATATTAGATAAAGAGAGAGAGAGAAAAAGCACGCTTACTTTATATATATTTGCCTGCATGTTGTCTCCCCCATTAGACTGTAAGCTCCTTGAGGGCAGGGGCTCTCCTGTGCCTCTTTTTGTATCCCTGGCACTTAGAACAGTGCCCGGTACATAATAGGCTGATGTTTAATCAATGTTTATTGACTGACTGTTGCTCACAAATGACATTCCATCTACTGTATATAAGCCTTTGTACTGGTCATCCCCTCATACCTGGAATATATTCCTACCTTGTCTCTAACTATTGGAATTTCTCACTTCCTTTAAAACTCTGCTCAAATGACACCTTTTACATGAAGCTTTTCCTGATTCCCCCCAGCTATTAGTGTCCTCCCTCTCCCAAATTATGTTTTATTTATTTTGTATATTACTTATTGCATGTTATTTCCCAGCAAGGCAGGTAGGTGGTACAATGGATAGAGCATCGATAGGCCTGGAGTCAGGAAGACTCACCATCCTGAGTTCAACTCCAGCCTCAGATACTTACTAGCTGTGTGACTCTGGACAACTCATTTAACTCTGTCTGCCTCAGTTCCTCGTCTTTAAAATGAGCTG